ACACCTTAAAGGCCGGTCCATGAAAATATTGTCGGGCATAAACCGGTCCGTGGCGCAAAAAAGGTTGGGGACCGCTGATCTACATGCTCTGCAGACTTCCCTTTAGAGGTCTCTCTAAGGAATTTAAAAGCAGATATAAAAGACTCACAAATTATCAATTCAAAGGATTTTCCACAACATAGCAAGCCAGCTGCTGAGACAAACGTGTTAACATCTGTATGTGATGGGACAATTTCCCTGCTACTGATCACTGTTCCATCTTTTTTTCACAGATCCAAAAGTTTTCATCTCTGCAGTTTGCGTCATTCCAGCAGTTTTCTTCGTCATTTGCTGCCATCACGCCACAGTCTTCGTTCACAAGGCTGTTGGGCTCACCGGTTCGCCAGTATCTGAAACTAAAGAAAGTTGCCTTTCAGCCAAGTTGCTGAAATGAAGATTTGCATTTCAGCAACTTATAAACAAAGGAGAAAGTCTTCAAATTAGCTCTGACTTTAAGTCCTACACACACGGTATCCTAACCCTAATCCTAATCCTAAAGCACATTGAGGCACCTGCTGTCGTGATTTGGTGGGAATTAAATTGAATAAAGTAATAAGCAGATAGTGATAAAAACAAAGTGTGTGCGTATTACAAAACCCAAGTTACACAAAATGAGATACCACTGCACATTAAGAGATATTTAGTCACAGATATCCACCCACTGAATAGTGAGTACTTATCTTAGAGCTTACAGAGGTGTGAAAAAGTGTTTACCCCCTGCCTGGTTTCCTGTTTTGCATTTTTGTCACACCTACATGTTCCAGATCATCAAACAAATTTTAATACTAGACAAAGATAACCTGAGTATATACAAAAATGCAATTTTTAAATGATGATTTCATTGATTAAGGGAGAAACGTAATCCAAACCTATCTGGTCTATATGTCTGAAAAAGTAACTGCCCCTCTTGTTAAATCATGAATTCACCACTGAGTTTAGTTTCATTAAACACACACAGGCCTGATTACTAGGAGACCTGTTGAATCAATTAAAGGGCCGATCGTGGCTCAAGAGTTGGCAGTTCGTCTTATAATCAGAAGGTTGCCGGTTCGAGCCCCGGCTCCGACAGTCTCGGTCATTGTGTCCTTGGGCAAGATGCTTCATCCGTTGCCTACTGGTAGCCTCGCCTCTGTCAGTGCGCCCCAGTGGCTACACTGTCATCAGTGTGTGAATGTGTGTGTGAATGGGTGGATGATTGTGTATAGTGTAAAGCGCTTTGGGGTCCTTAGGACCAAGTAAAGCGCTATACACAGACCATTTACCAAATACAATAATTTAATTAAATCAATTAAATAGAACCAGTTGGACAAAGTGAAGCAGCCAAAAAGATCGCAACAATCAACACACCTTGCCACGATATAAAGAAACACCTGAGAAACAAAGTCACTGACAGCTATCAGTCTGGAAAGGTTTGCAAAGGCTTTGAGACTCTTGCAAACCACAGTGAGAGCCATTATCCACAAACAGGGATGAAATTACTTTTTCACACAGGGCCGTGTAGGTTTGGCATTCTTCCCCCCCCTTAATAAACACCTTCATTTAGAAACTGCATTCTGTGTTTACTTGTGTTTTCATTGTCTAAAATTTAAATTTCTTTGATGATCTAAACCATTTTAGTGTGACATCTTATATAGATCAAGGCGAGAGTAACCCAAACTTAAAGCTTTCATTAAGATAACTGTCACATCGATGTAATTCCATATGAAGCAATGCCCAAACATAACTCAGTTTAAAAACAAATATAAAAGAGATTATGTGGACAAAGCACCGAGCTTTAGTGGAGTGTTAATGACGGGGGGTTTGGCAAATGTAAAAATGTTTTGGTTTTTGAACTTTAATTCTTTTATGTGAGTATTTTATATGAGTGTAGACTTCTATGCAGTTAAACATGTATATTGTGGGATAATATGCCAAACTGTGAATTCTGATTTGCAAATTATGGAATTTGAAATAAGGAGGTGGGAACAAATAAATGCAAACTTCCTCCTACTTCTTTTTGAGCATAAACATTGTGTGGATATTGAAATATTCATGACAACTTTTCGTCTATACTTAGTTTTTTATATGTCTACAAAGTTTTTATGTGTTTTTTTTATAATTGTTATTTTAGTTATATTTACATGTGAAACTAAAATATATTCTGTTCTGTTCTGTTCTGTTCTGTTCTATTCTAATAGAAGAATATTTTAATATCATACCAGTTTTGAACAATAATACATTTACTTCAAGTATATTTACACAACACACAGTGAGGATGAATAAAGTGCTGCTGCTGATGGATGGAGGATTTTATTATGAGTGATTACTACTGCTTTGTGGAGTTTTATTGAGATTAGGATTGATTTATAAATTATGAGTATTTATTATTAAAAATTAAAAATCTATGGACCTGCTGTTCAGCAAACTCCCATCCACCCACTTCCACGTCCCCTCTTCCTCTGTGTCACTCAGTCCGATCCACGTGTTACGCCTGAACAGCCTTATGAAGTTCTTGTTCCCAGTAAAAGAATCGAGAAAATAAATCTTAGTAATCTTGCAGTTCTTAAAATTTTGTTTCAGCTCTTTCAGATTTCAGAATTACAGTCTGTACCTGTTCCTCTGTGCTGCTGATAATCACCAGGTCTGCACCTCTTTGCAAACAGTCCTCTCTGCTGTCACTCCAGGACTTTTTAATATACGAAATGTAATAAAAACTGCCCCTGAAGTATACCCATCCTTGTTGTGTATTGAGATCTGTTCAAAATGTAAACATAAAAAGATAAAAGAAAACGGTTTCATCTACTTCACTAATGATAATACTATTAGTAAAATGGGCTAATATTAAAGATTTGACTCTTCATTTCCAGCATCATACTTACCGAAAATATTCAGCTTCCTCCTCAGTGACTCTTCTTCTTTAGTCTCATTTTTAGTGGCCTGGTCTGATGTGAAATAAAACATTATGTTAAAGGATGGATTTAGATATCTTTAGTTTATTCAGTTATTCCACAGATGGATGGAGGCCAAGACAGTTTGCAGTGAAGAAATTATACAGTGATATGATAGTATGTGTTAGAAGGCCACCTTTCTTTATTAAAGGAGTGGACAGACAGCTGTAAGTGTTTTGTAATTATTTTATAAATTATTCCAGTCTTATATGATAATGTGAGGTTTTGGCCTCATTAAGTAAACTGCTGACAAAGTAATTAGACTGTGATGTTATAATAGAGTACTGTAAAAATAAACTTGAATTAAGTGGAGTTAGTTGCAGTTTTTCCGATGGTAATGGTAATTATTTCTAACTTCTGTTCTTACACTATTCAAATGATGAATTTCACATTACAGATAAAATGTAAGTGAACTCACAAAGAGACAGTCGCAGGGAAATGCTGAGAATAACTTGAAGAATAAACAGAAGTCCAAAGCTCAGAACAACTAGTCTGCAGAGTTTTCTTTCTGTGTGCAGAAATCAAATAGACAAACACAAAATCATCTTTATTAAACGGCAAAAAGACTCAAATGTCTAAAAAGTATTTTCATATTACTGCCAGCAGATGAAAAGAAACTCCACACAGTTGGTTGGATCTGTTTGTTTTTGAACAAAACCCTTCACCTGATTCTGACATTGCCCACGATGGTGGACGATGGTGGAGCGCATACTCCTGCCGAGCTGAAATAAAACAAATAAACAATCTTTAAGATACTTACTTCTTGCTGATGTATCAGGTACATTTTCATAGTCCATCTCAGGCTGTTCTTTATTTTATCAGGATAAGATAAAGGAATGTACTCATATAATGATATTTTGAACTTATCCACAAACTGATTTCTCTTTTTCCCGTTTCCCCTTTTTAACACTGAAAAAACAACCTCCTGTTCCTCAAAATACTGACACTTTTGCTACATATTTGCCCCTGCTTACTTACCACCATAGAAACCAATGAACCCTCTGATTCAGTAACTATTAGATCTGCTTTTGGCAATAACATAAAGTAGTACGTCTCTGTGGGACTTTATCAGTCTTTCACATCATTGTGGAGGATCTTTTGCCCACTCTTCTTTACACCATGGCTTCAGTTCCTTAAGGTTATAGGCACTAATTTCAGCACAGCTCTGTAAAGTTTCTACCACAGCATTTTTTCCGGTTGAGGTCTAGACCTTGAGTGGGGTGTTGCAACACCATGATTTTTCTTTTTCAGCTATTCTGTTGCAGATTTTCTACTGAGCTTGGGATCATTGTCCTTTACATGACCCAGCTTTAGAATAGAATGCCTTTTATTGCCAGTATACACATGTACAATAAGATACAGGGCATCTCCTACTCAATGCAGACATGTGGGAAAAGGTGGGTGACTATTTACATATGAACAGTATTCAAAAATAAATAAATAAAATGTACAATTATACAAATTGGGGGAAAAAATAAATAAAGACATAATCTTATACATTCACAGTGTGGGTCATTGCATGTAAATTAAGTATTGCACAGTGGTGATGGTAGATGTGTATTCTGTCTATAGAGGAAAGTCCTTGGATTGGGGGGTGAAACTGTGTTGTCAGTGCATGTGTGAGTTCAGGGTGGTTATGGCGTTTGGGAAGAAACTATTTTTGCATCTGCCAGTCTTTGTGCTGATGCACCTGTAGCTCTTCCCTGAGGGAAACAGGTTGAACAGGTCAAAACTAGGGTGGGAGCTGTCTTTGACAACATTTGCTGCTCTGCGGAGGCACCGGGAAGAATAAATGTCCACCAGGGAGGGGAGAGGGCAGCCGCTGATCTTCTGTGCTGCCTTGAATACTCTCTGAAACCTCACTCTATTCAGCTTAGTGCAGCTGCCGTACCATACTGTGATGCAGTATGTCAGCAGGCTCTCAATGGAGGAGCAGTAGAAGATCAGCAGAAGTGCAGCTGCTGCTGGGCCTTGACCACCGCTGTTATGTTGTCTGTCCAGGAGATGTCAGTGGAGATAAGGACATGGAGAAACCGGAAGGTGTGGACCCTCTCCACACAGTCACCGTTGATGAATAGGGGGCCATGTCAGTGCTGTGCCTCTTGAAGTTGACAATGTTCTCTTTGGTTTTCTTGGTGTTCAGTGCCAGGTTGTTATCTGAACACCATGCTGCCAACTTTAAGACTTCCTCTCTGTCTCCCTTTTTCTCTCCCCTTGACATGAGTTCTACTACTGTGGTGTCATCAGCAAACTTGATGATGAGGTTGTTGTTGTTGTGGGCCAAACTGCAGTCCTAGGTGTAAAGGCAATACAGGAGGGGGCTCAGCACACTGTCCTATGGGAAGCCGGTCCTCAGCCTGTGAGTGGAGACTATAGTCTATAGTCTATAAGGTGTACAGACCTGCATAGAGTTCATATTCATATATAAGATATGACATACACATACAAGCATCCAATCACACTTCCATACAAAGGTTGCTGAGTTCCACAATGATACTTTAACTACATGACCAGGATTATTAAAACAAAAGGAAAATGTTTAAACAACATAGCCACCTATAAAAATTTTTTCAGCATATTTAATTTTTATAAACAAATTGCCAATAAATCTGATCAAATGGAATGACAATTTTGTGCTATACAATATAAAGTTCTTTATAAGAAAACTGAAATCCAGTCCTTCATGTGATATACAGTTTATTAGTAAAATGGCTGATTCAGAACGGCTTTGCCAAATTTAACTGAGGTGACAGTGCTAACCACAGCAAGAAGTTTACTTAATGAGTAACACATCAAAGTACTCTGCCTGCTACATTGTTGTCTTGGCAACAAAATATAGTTACAATTGTTATTATTTAGTATGTAGTAGTACGCTAATACTGTCTTACAGATAAATAAAGTTCAGTCGGATATCTGCTGACTGTTACTTTTACATAGTCAGAAGTTTTCTTTTTACACACTTGAGCAGTTTTCACTGTTGCAGTAATTTATTAATACACAGCAAAGTCCCTGATTTGTCCTTCTTTGTAAAAGAAATTTCACAGTGCTGCTAACTCTTGTTGGTTGCTGTGAAAGTGCATTAAGGGAGATGTTCACAAAAACAGGAAACATGTGGCAAAGCAACATATTTCCTGTTATTAGTTGTGCATTAATAAAGGTTTATGTCCATGTGTGTTTGAACTTGTATGCATAATGATAAGCCGTTTTCCCTGTGGCTTAAAATACTAGTGCGACAGCCAATTACAGATCCACAATCTTTTCACAGATCCATACGTTTTTTCCATTTGTTTTAATCTTTAATGATCTTCATTTCTCCAAAGTCTCCAAAGAATCAGCTTTTAACAAGAAATCAGAGATGCATATCAACAACTTATGAACAAACAGGAACGAGGTCCTCAAATTAGCTGTAGCTTGAAAAACAGTAACCACTAAATAAATCAAATAATGATAAAATATTAAATAAATATGATATGATTAAATATGAATAATGATAATGATTAACTGTTTAAATCTTAGATATTGTCCCATACACTGAACTCAAGTCTCTGTATACCTGCAGATGCTGCAACATATCACGAAACATTCAATCAGAGAATACAATTCAGGTTGAGTAATTACTTACTATGATAAAAACTTATTTATTGATTTGTGAATGCATTTCAGCTACACTTGTCTTTAAACTGTTTATACAACATGACCAACATTACTTCTGCAAAATGCAACTACTTTGTGGAACAGTTTTATGACTGGTCATGATTGGTCAATATTGACACATTATTAGTGATTATAACTTTAAATTATAAAGAGAATTTATGAACCTTTTGTTCAGTAAAGTCCCGTTCATCCACTTCCAGGTCCCCTCTTCTTCTGAGTCAGTCAGTCCAATCCATGTGAACTCTCTGAATTGTTTAATGAAGTTCTCTCAGTGACAGGGGAAAAATATGAGAAAAGCACCACCAAGGCTAGAGACGGAGCAATACTGGAAGAACAAAGTAGCACAGAGGGAGGTTAGCCAACTGTCGGAGCTGCAGAAAGGTGCGACAAAGAAGGTGCCTGAGAAGTACAGCAAGCTGTCCATACCTGAGGCCTTGGAAACTGCCAAGCAATGGCTCACAGCCTTGGCCAGCCGCTTAAAGAGGTACACCAGAGAGATTGAAGGCAGGAGAATAATCCAGCTGTTCTCCACAGAACCAGCCAAGGTGTACTCTCAGTGGCAGGGGAACAACACGAGAACAGCACTACCAAGGCTGGAGACGGAGCAATACTGGAAGAGCATATGGGAGAAGGATACAACCCATAATGGCAATGCTCAGTGGCTACTGGAGGGCTGAGGGCAGACCACAGCAACCTCTCTGAACAGGGTCCAGTAACCATCACAGTGGCAGACATTCAAGGGTCTCCAATATGAAGAGTTGGACAGCACCAGGCCATGACATGGTTCACGCCTCCTGGCTGAAGAAGCTGACTGCACTCTATGAGCGTCTGGCAGCACAAATGAACCAGCTACTAGTTGACGAGAGACACCCGGAATGGCAAACCGAAGGCTGGACAGTCCTGATCCTCAAGGATCCCCACAAGGGGCCGGCCCCATCCAACTACCGAACAATAACCTGCCTCGGTACCACATGGAAGCTCCTGTCAGGCATCATAGCGGCTAAGATGGACAGACATATGGTTCAATACATGAGTGGGGCACAGAAAGGGATTGGCAAGAATACCAGAGGTGCAAAACACCAGCTAATGGTAGAACAAGCAATCAGGCGATACTGCAAGACCAGGCTGACCAACCTGTGCTCTGCCTGGATTTTCTACAAGAAGGCTTATGACTCAATGCCCCACACCTGGATCCTGGATCTGTACAAGATCAACAGGACCCTAAGAGCCTTCATCGGGAACTCAATGGGGATGTGGAGGACTACACTAGAGGCCAACTTCAAACCCATAGCACAAGTCACTATCAAGTGTGGGATCTACCAAGGAGATGCTCTGTATCCACTGCTGTTCTGCATTGGCCTGAACCCCCTCAGTGAGATCATTGACAAGACTGGCTACGGATACCAGCTACGGAAGGAAACAGTTGTCATCCACCTCCTGTACATGGATGACATCAAGCTGTTTGACAAGAGTGAACGAGACGTCGATTCACTGATCCGCACCACCAGGATATACAGCAATGACATCGGAATGTCATTCGGACTGGAGAAATGTAGTCGGATGATAACAAAGAGAGGGAAGGTAGTCAAAACTGAGGGGATTGAACTACCAGAAGGCAGTATTTCAGACATATAGGACAAGTACAAGTACCTGGGGATCCCACAGGCTAATGGGAACCGCAAAGAGGCTGCCAGGAAAACTGCAACCACCAAGTACCTGCAGAGAGTCAGGCAAGTCCTGAGGAGTCAGCTGAACGGTATGAACAAGATCCGGGGTATTAACACCTACGCCCTACCCGTGATCAGGTACCCTGCTGGAATAATAAGCTGATAATAAGCGAGCTAAGATCCTGTGGGACTTCCAGACACAGACGGACAAAATGGTGATGGCTAAATGGCTAACCAACTGGACATAGAGGTGGTGGACAAACAGAAGAAGATGGCCGTAGGGATAGATGGAGCGTTTCCGAATGATAGTAACATAAGGAAGAAGGAACATGAGAAGCTTGAGAAATACCAAGGGCTCAGAGAAGAGCTCGAGAAGATGTGGAGGGTGAAGGTAACAGTGGTCCTAGTGGTAATCAGAGCACTAGGTGCAGTGACTCCCAAGCTAAGCGAGTGGCTCCAGCAGATCCCAGGAACAAAATCTCTGTCCAGAAGAGCGCACTCCTAGGAACAGCTAAGATACTGTGCAGGACCGTCAAGCTCCCAGGCCTGTGGTAGA